CCCATTTGACAACTAGTGCACAAGTGGGGAGTTGAAGTCCATTTAGACACAAAAATATTTCTCTTTGAAGACAAAGTTTTTAAGGTACGCAAGTTTGGGTGTCCAAGATGTTGATGCCATATTGAGTCTGTTGCCTTATTTGTTACTACTACAAGAGCATGCTTTTCTCCTTCATCAAGTGCATATAAGTGTCCTTTTCTAGTACCTTTGGCCAGAATTGCCTGTGTTGTTTGATCCTTAATCACAAAACCAATAAATGAGAACTTAAAAATACAGTTATTATCATCAGTAAACTTGCTAATAGAAATAAGATTTTTTTTTAGTTCAGGCACAACTAAAACATTTTTAAGTTTTAAAGGGCCAACTGACATAGATCCAACATGTGAGATCTGCAAGGGCGTTCCATCACCTGTGTAAACTTTTTGATTACCATTATAAGGTCTTTTCACAAAGAGATTACCTGCTTCTGAGGTCATATGATTTGTAGCTCCGGTGTCAGCATAATGTCTTGGATCCTTTTTATCTTCCAAAGACAAAGTTGCAAGGGCTTGAGGTAGCTCTTCACTTTGATATGCATGATCAAACCTATACCAACATTTTAAGGCAGTATGATCATTAATTCCACATATTTGGCAAGATTTTTCACCTTGGGTTGTCATGTTTTTGGTCTAAAATCTCTTCTGCGTCATGTGTTGCTGGGGTGCAGGATTATTGTTGACTAATTGATTTTTATGGTTACTGAACCGATTGTAGTTACCAGCTTGGACAAATCCTTTTCCCCTGGAATTAAAATGTCTACCTCCATAGCCTCTGTCACGATGACCCCTTCCTCTTTGAGCGACAAACACCTGATTGAAAACAGGAGCTTTAATTTATTTTTGTTTTCTTGTTCCTGAACTTGCAGATCCTGTCCATAATTTTGTAATCCTGCAATATATTGGTTAAATGTAGGATATGGAGCCTTTGAGAGAACAGCCAGATTGTAGGGTTGATAGCGTGACCCTACAACTTTGGAGAGTTGAAAAACTTTGTCAAGATCATCAAGGGGTTTTTGAATTGCTACAAGACTGTCACATGTTTTCTTGAATTTTCTGATGAAGTCTTCAAGAGATTCATCATCGCCTTTCTTGATAATCAATTGTCCCTTTAGATATAGTTCCTGTTCTTTTGTGGACACCAAATAATGCTCCCGGAGATACTTCCAAATCTGGTAGGTTGAGTTACAACCATCAACCAAGCTTAGAGAATCTTCATTCATGGTTCCAAGCAACCAACTAGTAAGGAGTCCATTGTTGTTTAACCAGACTTCATAGTCTTCGTTGGGTACGTCTTTGTCATTCTTAATGACAGTCATTGCTAGAGCTTCCTCCTCAAGGTGATGGAGAAGCTGAGCACTTCGAATTAGTGGATAGATTTGAGATTTCCACAAAAGAAAGTTGGTGCTAGATAGTTTAACGGACAACAGACTAGCCATTTGGTGGAAATTTTGAATGGTAAGTGATGTCTTAGCTTTGGCCATGATCTGGTTGGAAAATAAAGAACAAACTTGGGATTTTCCTTTCTCACAGAAAATTAGATTACAGAGACGAGTATTCAGATGCAAGAATCGTACTATTCTGATACCATGTGGAAACAAAGAAGAAGAGGATGGTATTTTGGAAAATACTCAATTGTATTCCCTTGATTCATTCGGTACAAGTAACTGATATATATACAAATTGCAGATTTTGGTTTGGCAAGGCTTCTTCCTCAAGATCGGACGCATCTCAGTACCCAATTGCAGGAACACTGTGACTTTCAGTTTGCAATCAAACTCTAACCCTAAGATTGAAGGCCTCCAGCAATGTAACAATTTATTTGGTTTTTTATTTCTGAATTATTCTTCAGGGGATATACTGCGCGGGCATATGCAATTCACGGACAATTATCTGAGAAGGTGGATGCTTACAGCTATGGCGTCGTTGTTCTTGAAATCATTAGTGACCAGAAGAGCAGCGAGACCAAATCTCACTCTGATGTCGAATTCCCACTCAAACAGGTGAACCTTCCATTATTCAATTTGAATTTTATTCAATTCAAATTCAAATTCTTAAGACTTTTTCATGGATGTCAAAAATTGAATTGGAGAAAGGAGATTGAATTGTTAAGTTTTTCCTTTAATTTACAGGCTTGGAGTTTGTACGAGAATAACAGACATGAAGAACTGGTGGATGAGACATTAGACAGAAGCGAATACGATACAGAAGATGTTGGGAAAGTGGTTGAAATTGCTTTGTTGTGTACTCAGGCATCGGCGGCCTCCAGACCACCTGTCTGAGGTAGTCGTTTTGCTGAGAAGCAAAGGATCCCTTAATCACCGGCCAACCATGAGGCCCATCTTTGTCGAATCAGACAAAAAGGTCCGAGAAGACACATCCTCCTCCACTGGCTCCCCTGCATCCAACGCCACAGCCTCCATCACTCAGTTCTCTGGTCGCTAACTCTTAGCTAGATTCAGGGTATATACTACTAGAAATTGTTAAAAAAAATCTCCTTTAAGTTTTAATTATGCTTTCCAAATCAATATAGTAAATTTTGAAGTATAATTATCATAAAATTTAATATTAAATTGATTATAGCATTAGAGATTAATTTAGTTCAAAAAGAAAAAAAAAAGAAAAAAAAAAGTAAATATTATATGATCAATATAATAGTATTTAATATCATTAAGAGAAATTTTTAAAAAAATTAATCTTTTTTTAATGTTGAGTTTAGTGTTGCTTTCATTTTCTCCTAAAAAAACAAGTAGTTATAACATTTACGAAAATCCTATTAAAAAAGAAATAATAATATCTTTAATAAAAAGAGAGGAACTTCTGAATAAAATTGCTGGAATCTGCTTGGGATGTTGACACAAAAGGGTCAATACTTCTGCTTCCAATTTCACCACAACACCTATTCTCCAAAGTTTTAACGCATGGTGTCTGTACCAATCAAGGTGGTGTCGACACCCAACCTGCGCCGGGTATGTTGCAACTGTTTTGCAATTCCATTAATGGTAAAATGGCAAATGTGGTCCTTTAACTTATACTTTTTGAGAAATTTTATCCTAAAACTTCAAAGCCATTCATTTAAGCCCTCAATTGCAACTTTTCTTATTGCAGTATAATCCCTCAACTTTGAAAAGATTTTCACTTTAGTTTCTATTATTATGCATTTAAATTCTTTTATGCACAAAGAATAAAAATTCTCTAAAACCTATAAAAAATTTACATTCTATTCATCTTTTTTTTTAATGTACAAAAATAAACAGTTCAAACTTGTAAGGGAATAAGGAGGGAAATCACAGGTTCAAACTCCTGTTATGAAAGTATAGAAAGTTTTTATATTAATGATAAAGTCATTTCAACTATTAAAACTTCACACATTTTATCTATTTAAATATTAATAAAATTAAAATCAAAATAAAAAATTAAAACATATAAAATGCATCTCATCATTAAGATTGCCAATACTAAGCTTGATTAGTGCATATCATTATTCTTATCGCTTCTCTTAGTTGTCATTGAGGAGAACTATTAAACTTCAAAAAGTACATTCAGTTTTGGAGCTGCCAGTAACCAGTTGAGATGAATAATGAGCACTGGATTACTTACAAATTTCAGGGGACCAATTTCAAAGACTGTTATGTTTCACCTGTTGTAAGCTTGATCCGTGAACACTATCATTGCATTAGAAAAGTAGCGTTCTTAGTGTTTGATCTAGACTTGCGTTCACGAATCCATTGGGAGGACAAATACCTTGCCTTGTATTTTGCTATTGAAAGAAAGACTTAAATAGGTGGATCAACAGTCCAAGAAAACCTGGCCTTAGCAAAGTTTAACCTTGACTCGCCCCAATCCCATTGGAAAGACCAAACACCTATCCTTACAATTTTGCTGTTGGAAGAAAAACGCAGGCGGATCAATAGTCCAAGAAAACCAGGACTTACCATATCTTCAAGTTCACAATCAATTGCTTTTGAATATTTACAGTGACAGTGATGGCAATTGTTGTTTTTGTTTTTTCTTTGGCCAACATGCATCTGATGAAAATTCTTCGGAGTTGCAGCAGAAACATTTTTTATAAGAAAGTTTGTGCATTATGTCAGATCATTGTTTGTCTTAAATTTAATACCAAGAGTAAAAAGATGATTTGCTAATAGAATGTAGGAGAAAATGTATAAATAAGGGTGTTAATTTTATATTTTTTTTATTTAAACATGTTAATTTTATTGATTTTTAAATAAGGATATTAACTTTCAACTTTTTTTCATTTAAAGATGTCAATTTTTAATTTTTTTTATTTGAAGATGCCAACTTTCAATATTCAAATTCCACTACTGCAGGAATGGCATTTCTGAACCGAAATATCGGTCCGTATATATAGGAAATCGGTCTGAATATATATATCCGGACCGATATTGGTCCTTATAGTTGATCTGAAAAAACCTGGTACGAATAAGTCTAATATACAGACCGATGTAGAATCGGTTCGTATATATATACTATCCGGACCGAAATTGGTCCGGATATTTCAGTAAGAAATATAAATAATTATTGGGAAATTGAAATAAGCGGACCGAAATTGGTCCCAAAAAATAATATAATAAAATAATAAAATATATACGAACCGACAACG